GGAGCTGGATCCTGGGCCAGGGCGTGGCCCCCCAGGGCGGGGCAGACCTCCCCTGTCCAGCCAACCGCTCCCCTCAGCAGTGTGTTTCTGTCAGTCTGACTGTTCCTCCCCACTGTCTCTGGAGAATCCTCTCACTGCCCCCAACCACACCTCTGGCCTGCACCCCAGCTCTTGTACATATAAATAATCTTTAAAAAATAATAATAATAACCTGCTTCTTGGGGGGCAAATGAGCAGCTGAGCACACAGGGTGGGGTGTGGGGTCGGTGCTACTTCCATGGCTGAAAACCAGGTGGACCAGGGCGGTGGGAGGCAGCTGCCCAAGGCCCTGCACCCATGCACAAGTAAGACAGGGTGCCCCGCTATACAAGGTGAGGCAGGGCACCCTGCGATTCAAGGCGAGGCAGGGTACCGGAGATACAAGGTGAGGCAGGGCGCCCCGCCCGGAACTGCTCTGCAGTGACTTCAACTGACCTGGCTCTCAAACTCCCCCAAGGGCTTGCTGCCTTCCCCATTTATTATTCAAAACAGGAGCTGTCCTCCCAGGGATTTCAGCGCCTGACCAAATCCTGCTTGGAGGCGAGCAGCACTGGCCTTCCTTCACGTTCTATACCAGAGGGGCAAAAATAATGAGCAGCGTCCTAAAAATACTTGCCTTCCAAATAAGAGGGCAGCAAAAATTGCAGCCCTTAATCCCAAACTCCTTCCCCTTAAAATACACGACTTGGCTGAAACGTCTGGAACATCAAAGCAAAGAGGCCCCGAGAAGGAACGGCGTGGTCATCTAGCCTGCTCCGCAGGGCCACGAAGCTCCCACGCAGCAAAGGGAGTAGTGAGGGCCAGACCTGGAGCTCCACATTGGGGGGTTCAGAGCTAAAACGGGGTGAGGTCCGCCCACAGCTTAGGTGACTGGGTGGGGGGGGGTTGGGGAGGCCTGCCCCAGGGGACCTGCCACGGGGACGAAGGGAGGGGCCTCCTAACTGAAATCAGTCTGCCCTGCCTCTCCCTCTGCCTGGGGCTGACTCTGGGGAGCCGCAGCCTGGGCCTGAGGCTATCATGACAAGGTCAAGGGCACCCCAGGGGCCAGCGCCCAGATACCTAGCTCTGCCCAAAAACCTTCAGGACCTTAACGACTGACTGCTTTACTCTCTCCTTCCCTCTGGCTATCACTGCCTGGGGCAGGAAAAGTATCCGTGGCAATTAGAGCCCCACTCCAGGACAATGCAAGGGAGAAGGGATCCCAGCAGGCAGGAGAGGGCAGGCGTGCTCGTCCGGGGCCAGGGGATTCTGGACCCCCCATTCCCACTGGTGACATCCGCGCGCACTCGCTCCGTGGCCAGCCGGCATGCATGCAGCACTGCCATGTTAATCACTGCATTCAACAGGAGCAGAACACTGACCAGAGGCAGCTGAACTGAAGCTGCATGAAGAGAAGACAGAGTCACAGACGAGCGCCACACTCACGGTGGAAAGCCTGACCTTGCCAGGGCATCAGGAGGATGCGTGAGTGACACAGAGGCGCGCACCACCTAGGCCAAGACAGTGTCAAGCCAGCCGGTGAGCCGGCAGCGGGCAGGGCATAAGGAGAAGCGCGGAGGGCCGAGCCTCGCTCTCTCACCTGCCAGGGCTGAAAGGGCACAGGGTCCGGCCGACTCCCAGGGCCGCCACAGAGCTCAGTGAGAGCACGAAAGTGGCGGCCCCATGACGACGGACTATATACAAGAACCTGATCAACAGGGCGCTCTGAGAGCGGGGTCCCCTGAAGAGGCTTCTGCCATCCAGGGAGGAGAGCACAAGATGGTGTAACCCCCCCACACACACACACCAAGGCCCTAGAAATCTACACAAGGCCTCCGGGTCTTCACCCAGCAGAGCAGAATCCAGAGCCGCCAGACAGCCTCCATCCGCGCAGGGCTTTGCAGAACTGTCTCACCAACACGGGGTGAACACAAAGCTGGGAAAGTATTTGGAATCCAGGCCAGCGGCTGGTTAAATAAGTCATGGGTTGTCACTTTCAGGGAACAGGATGCTGGGGTTCGGTTTTGTTTTTTACAGAATGACACAGCTCTACGTGCAAAAGAAGATGATCTCGGGAGGGAACTGCTGAGCAGGGAGGAAAGGAGCCGGCGGAATAGTCAGACGCAGGCGACAGTCATAGCGCCCGTGGCTGGGGCTCGCAGCCCGCCCAGGCTCACCTCAGAGCAGGTGTGCCTCTGGGCCCCGGGACGCCCTTCCAGGGCAGTCAGCACTGACCCGAGAGGGGAGTGGTCGGTCGAGGGCCCCAGCGCTGGGCGGGACGGCGTGTGACCACACGGGCTGCAGTCAGTGCCCAGAGGTGGGTTCCTCCTAAGTGGGCTCCCTGCGTGAGATGTTTCCACTCTGTAACAGCGCTAAAACTGCACACTGGGAGTTACACTGTGCATAATGTGTATGACTAAAAATAAGCATTAAGATCTGCTCCAAACCAGTAAGAAAAAAACTCCACCACGGTCCAAAAGAAATGGGCAAAGGCCACCAGAAGCGAGACGCAGAAGTGCCAGCCAACACCCACCTCACCCGCGACCGGAGAAGCTGGACCCTCCCTGGGCCCCATCCTGCAAGTGTAGCCCCCGTGGGGTCCACGGGGTACTTTATAATGTGGCAAAACCCAGTGTACTTCAAGACACTGAAGTGGCCCTGAAGTGCACTCGCTGGGGTGGTGGACACGGAAAGTGAATGAAATGCTACAAGTGTCAGAGAGGCACAACAGCTGGTGTGTGTGTCCTGGCAGAAGACAATCCTGGCAACAGCTCCATGATCAGCAAAACCGATGCGGATTGACCCCATTTCCACCCCCTACCCCCCCCCATCCTGCCCCAGGCACCAGCTGGAGGGACAGAGGAAGCCGGCAGGTGGCGCTACAAAGACCCCAACACCCCACCCCATCCCAACCCAACTTCAGATGGGCAAGAACCTCTACGAAGGCCCAGAAATAAGCAAGACGGCCCTCCCTGGTGGTGCAGCGGGTTAAAGCACAGCACTGAGAAGCTAAAGCCACTTCCACATGAGTTCGATCCCCACCTGCCCCGGAGGTGACCACGGCGCGGCAGACCTCTCCTGACCGCCCGCTGCTCCCCTCAGCAGTGGACTTCGTCAGTCGGCCTGTTCTGCTCCCCACTCTGTCCCTGGTGAATGCTCTCACCCACCTCACCTCTGGCCTGTACCCCAGTTCTGTATACATAAATAAATCTTTAAAAAAAAAAAAAGAAAGAAGCAAGACGGAGAGGAAGAGGGGGAGGACTCCACAGAGGAACAGACACCAGGTAGTCGCTGAACCTGTAGAGAGAAAAGACAGAACGGGGTGCAGGGCCAGGGTGGGGGAGCGGGGAGTCAGCCCTTGATGGGGACAGAGCCTCGGTCAGGCACAAGGGCGATGCCCGGGAGACGGTGGAGGCCGTGGTCGCACGACACAGGCATACACATAATGCCACGGGACACTTAAAAACGGCCTAAGTGGTCAACCCTGTGGTGCATGTTTTACTACAGTACAGAACAAACTTCAAGAAGAAGAAGAAGAAGAAGAAAACATAAGATATATCAACCAATCAAAACACACGGACGCCATGATTCCTGATACGAAGTGATGGGCTAGTAAACGTGGAGCAGATATTTGAGGGCCTAAAGGAATCACTGCAATGGGAGAGGCGACAATAACAGCAGGCCTGTGAGTCCTGTTCTTCCTAAATCTATTAAAATGCCCGTGAAGGACAGAGCGCCCCGCATGGGAGCGGGCGAGGGGAGCCCGCGCAGCGCCCCGTGTGGGAGCAGGAGAGGGGTGACCATACAGCACCCAGCGTGGGAGCGAGGGGTGCCCACAGTACCCCATGTGGGAGCGGGCGAGGGGTACCCATACAGCACCCCACGTGGGAGCGGGCGAGGGGTGCCCACAGTACCCCACGTGGGAGCGGGCGAGGGGTGCCCATACAGCACCCC